TTATTATTATTATTATTATTATTATTATTATTATCAATGTTATTATTATTAGTAGTAGTAGTAGTAGTATTGTTATTATTATTATCATTATTGCTATTATTATTATTATTATTACTTCTATTTTTGTTGTTATTAATACTATCATTATTATAATTATTACTATTACCATTACTATCATTATCCACATTGTCATTATCATTATTTATTAATTTATTATTATTATTATTATTATCATTATTATTATCATTATTATTATTATAATCATCATTATCACTATTATTCTACCACAGCAGCTCAGGTTTTCCTCAGGTTATTTACTCCATCCTTTTCCAGATCCACCTTTCAAAAGCTTTTATTATTTCTTTGAACCATCGCTTTCACATTTTTCTCTTCACAATCTGACTTCTCTGGTGCCTACTTCTGGGGTATGAGATCCCATCAGATCCCTGAGCTGAGCGAGAACTGTTTTTTATAGGTTTTTTCTTAGTTCCCTCAGGTTCGATTGCCCATTCTCTGATATGAGCAAGTCTGCCTGGTTGTAGGCATTCTTGATTTGCACTTAGTTCAGCTGGCAGAATGTTGCTGCTTGTTCTCGAAGAGAACTCATGCACCAGTCTGTTTGCCTCTGATTGAGGGTCGTGGTATGTGCACCTCGGGGCTGAGTGGCTAATAGTTCACCTGACCCATTGCCACAGCTCTATAAGGGTGGTTGGGTGGTCAAAGGACCTACACTGTTCCAGCCACTTTGCCTGCCTGATTCTATTGGCAGTTTCCTTGAACGCTTCCCTTAGGAGGGCTAGGTTGTCAAGGGTTCTTTGCCTTCGGAATTGTTTTCGGCACATGTTTACTCTGTGATCATTGAAGTACCAGGCGTCTTTCTAACTCCTGGATCAAGGCCCAGTTTTAGGTATGGTCCGTGAGGCTGCTTGATTTATGGCATTGATAAGTCTGGCTTCAAGCACTTCCACATTTTCGCTCTGTGGGGGTTCATTGCATCTAAGACAGTGGGCCAAGGCATTATGAAAGGCTTGCCAGTTGGCCTTGTCTGTTTTCCATCTTCGATTTGGTTGTGGCATTTGGGCTGGGCCAGTATCCATGAGGGTAGCAACAGTGCCATAGTGGTTACATGTGACGGTTTCATCGACACACCATTTGATTCTCTCCAAAGCTGCAGTGGCAAAAGTGAGGTCTAGGACCCCTCCTCTGACATGCGTTGCCTCTTAGGTATTGAGAGGGGCGATCTCAGGGAATGCCTCAATCACATTGGCTATGTGATAGCTTGCCGCATCCGGTACCTTGCAGGGAGCTAGGATGGAGTGGTGTGCATTGAAGTCTCCCCTATGATCACTTGGTCTTGTGCTGCAGTAGCACAGACCTGGCTGATGTCTAAGCTCCTACAGCCTGTCCTGCTGTACACATTGTACAGCTTGAAGGTGCCCCCCGCCAGGTGAATCTCAATAGCAAGATATTCAACTTCACAGTGCGGTGCATCGGCTGTTGCGGAGCAAGGGATTGTTGCTTTAACCAGAATGATCATGCCTCTTTTGCCAGCTGTGCTTGGCAGCACGAAGATGTGATACCCTGAGAAGCGAACAGTCCCCTCTGTTAACGTGTCCTGAAGCATGGCAATGTCAATGTTCCTTGATCACACTATTGCGTGAAGGATTGCATTTCTCGAATTGTAGTCATAGATGTCCCACTGTAGTATGCTTAGACTGTGTCATGATGTTACTTGATGTTAGTTACATCTAAGACTCTTCGTTTTCGGATCCAGAGTATAATATTTCGGAGTCTGACAACTCCATTGTGAGGTCCTCGCTGTTTGAGGGATATTCATGTTTATGGACTGTTTGTCAGACTATCCATGGATCCACTGGTAGCTTTGACTTTTGTTAGCTTGGCTTTTCGCATTTTGGGCTTTGTCTGTGTTAATCTTTTTCTTTGCTGGCTTTACCTGGGTAAGGTCAACCTGTTCTGGCACTGGCTCCACAGATTCAGCCTGGTTTGGCTCTGCCTGTGAGGGCAAGGCCAAGGTTGGATTGAGAAGGGGAGTCTCGTCCTGGGGTGTGGGCTGGTTTGGCTCTGTCCAGCTTCCTCCCTTTCAGAACTGCAACAGTCTGGGTCATTGTCGTCTGCCTTCTCCTCCTCACTCGACCTCCCCAAAGCTGTTGCTACTGCAGTGACTACAGCAGTCAGCAGGAGAATCATATCTTCCTCATCAAAGAGATTATCGTCTCTTGGGGAAGCTCTGACAGTGCTCTTTGAATCTTTATTCCTCTGGTTCTTTTTCTGCATTTGCAGTGGCAGGAAACTCTTTATTATTGGAGATATCCGGTGTCGGCTGGGGAGGAGCTTCCTTCCTCTTAGGAAGTCGAGTGACCTTTTCCCTTTTGTTCTTTCCCCAGACATGGGTGCCTGGGGGAGCGGGAACAAAGTCTGGTCGCTTTTTAGCAACCTCTTGTCGCCTGAGGACCGCCTCTTTCCTGGCAGAGCAAGCCAGACTCCAGGCAAGATGCCTCTTGGCACAGTTGGGATATTTGGCTGCTGTGCCCTTTTGTCCTTCCTTGTATGCACTGAGGTACACCACGGTGTTGTGTGTCTTGCTACAGGCACCACACTTGGGCCTGGCCTTTGCAGCCAGCTTGGTGGTAACCATATTTTAGGCACTTAAAGCACAGAAGTGGCTCAGGCACATAGGTTCTTAGATTGAAGGTGCCCGTTACCCAGATCAAGGGTAGTGGTTAGGACTACTTTCAGGGTCACCAGGACTTGCCTGGTTGAGGTCTTCCCTTTCAACATTCGGGAAGCCCCATGACCTGTGGGTATGAAGTGATCAGATCCACATCGTACAAAACTGAAAAGCCAAGTAGCACCATCTTGATTCTCCTACTGTCAGGATTCAGGGGTGAGACACACATTTTCCTCCCGTCTTTAAGCTCCTTGGTTTCCTGCAAGAAATCCAGGGTAGCTTGGTTTTTATGCACAATAATCATGTACTGGTCTCTAGCAACTCAGATTGACAACCGGATTTTTCTCTGTATCTCCAATGCTCTGACCAGTTGGTAGGCATTGTTGAAGCCTTCAGGTTTAGAAGGAACCTTAAACTGCAGGGAAATGCCTAAGGGGTCCAGAGTCTGTCTCTGGCTTAGGTTGTTTCAGACAGCCCTTTCGGCTAGGATTTTGGGCTTTAGTCGTAGAAGCAGAAAGCTGGTTCAGCTTGTACTCCACATCTCAGTCAGGGAGGACGTCTGAGGGGAACTCAGAAGTCTCCCTTCTGCAACATGCATCATGGGTATTTCAAACAGGCACGTGACAAGTGCTCAAAAAGATTTCCACAAATGAAAGGGAAAAAATGGGCAACTAATTTCAACAAAGAATCATTATTTTTATATACATATTTTGATTAGTTTTGAACAAGCTATTTGTCAAAGGCTACTTTACCACTGTAATTAGGCAACTTTAGCAGAAATTTGCATTATTTATTGAAATATGTTTATCTACACTCATATTCCGACTGTTACTATAAAGGATAACTTGAATATTAAAACGGTGAATTTCACTGAATAAAGAATCAAAAGTAACCAGTTAAATGTAAGACTTCATTTAGTGAAAACATTTCATTTACTTAAAGATCATTTCAGCCAGAATTTTAGGTGTTTACAGTACACGAAGAAACAAATCAGCCGAGTTGTGTACAGTAGAAGGGGTCGGGATAAGTTTGTTTGGAAGGTAGCTTGCGGCAGAAACAGCACAACCAAATTGGAGAGGAAGTGTACCACTTCACTCTGTAATTAGCAGTAAAATTATATATAATACAAAATATATTTAAAAAAAAAGGATAACTGGCCTTACAGTTCACTGTAATATTACTGATACCATGTATGTAGTCTACCTGAATTTTTTCAACTGATAATGATCTTGACCTTTACAAGTGTGACAACCTCAAATTAACTCAGAAACCTAATGAATCAATGGTTATTCCAAGAAACTGTGAAATAGTCTGCAATAATATCAAATTGGCCTCTTAGTTCCCTATAGAGGCTTCTTACTTGGTGTGGCAATGAATGAGAGTGCTATTTTAGAAATGTGTACGCAAATTATGCACAGTGTGATTTTGATGCTATACTCCAGAAATTGCATCTGGCTTCTAGTGATCACAAAACTATGACATCCCCTTGTTTGGTTGACTTTGAGCTACTGGCTCATTTTTGTTATTTTCCATATATATTTATGGAAAAAAAATTTAAGTACTAAAGTCCAAAAAATTGTTTGAAAGATGCTAGCAAACTTCGAATTTCCCGGGCACGAATATAGTTCAAGAGTCTGGTACTGTATAAGGTATGTCATACTTATTGGGATTTATTTACAGGTATTCTTAATGTAAACAAATCTTAAAAACAATGGGAAAAAAGGTAATGGAGACTCGACTTTCAACATACAAACAAATCAACTTACAAACAGCCTCTCGGTCCCCATTATGTTCTTAAGCTGGGGACTTACTGTATATATATATATATATATATATATATATATATATATATATATATATATATATATATATATATATATATATATATATATATATATATGTATATATATATATATATATATATATATATATATATAGATAGATAGATAGATAGATAGATAGATAGATAGATAGATAGATAGATATAGATATATATATATAGATATATAGATATATAGATATATAGATATATATTTATAAATTTAAAGTACAGTTATCATTTTTATCCCACCTCGTGTACAAAAATCCACCACAAGACAGAGAGAAACAACACAACCGGTGCTGTGGCTTACACCCCAACATCCCCAGTCTTAGATGTGCTATACATTTCACAAGTTAAGAGGTCAAGCAATTGAAATGCACATTACTTTTATTTCCTATAAACACTCTGCCAGTATTTTTATATAGAAGTGTGAGATCCATAAAGGTACACATGAATATTTTGTGAGGGAATATATATCAAAACAACAAATACATTGTTATATTATATTTCTGACATTAACAACAAAAGGGCAGTTTGTGTGACTTAAGAGTCCACACATTATTC